TCTCTCTCTCTCTCTCTCTCTCTCTCTCTCTCTCTCTCTCTCTCTCTCTCTCTCCCCCTCTGTGTGTGTGTGTGTGTGTAGGCCATACTCGAGCCCTTGATCGCGCGAGCCACCCGCTTGGGAGGCGAGGAGGAAGAGGGTACCTATACGGTCATCATCTACTGTCCTGTTTCCGTATACGCCCATGGAACGTGGCAAAATACACTCGTTACTATTTATAGCAAACTGATGAACCTGGCCATTTTCTGTGGGAAGATGCAGCACCCGTTTCGTATATCCATGCGTTATTGACATTTGTTGACGAAACTCGGCCATCAGATCTTCGTCGCCGTTAGACCAACTTCAACTTCGGGCGTCGCCACACGCCATAGGAAACGAAAAACGAAACGAGTGCACCTTCCCACGGAAAATAGCCAGGTTCATCAGTTTGCAATAAATTGTGATGAGTGTACTTTGCCACGTTTTCATGGACAGATGCACTCGTTTCGTTTGTTTTTTTTTTCCGTTTCGTTTTCGTTTCCATGTGGCCACGCCCTTCTTTTTTTTTTTTTTTTTTTTTTTTTTTTTTTTTTTTTTTTTTTTTTTTTTTCCCCTTTTTTTTTTTTTTTTTTTTTTTTTTTTTTTTTTATGCAAAGGGTCCTGCACTTACTTCTCCTTCCCTGCCTGTTTGTGCTACTCCCACATCTTTTTTTTTTTCTTTTTTTTTTCTTTTTTAACGCACCACCACCTTTCTTTTCTTTTTTTTTTTTTTTAATCGCACCACCACCTTTACCGCTGTTGGGAAAACGGGGAAACAAATATCGTATTCCTAAAAAAATAGGCGGCCGGGCCCGACCACGGACAGAGCCCAACGCTTTCTACCAAGTTCTGAAAACTACCGTCTTCCCCCGAGCATAACGCACCCTTATTTTGGCTGTATCTGGCCGGAAATATAGCTTGTATACATTCATTTTTAGGGTGCGTTATGTTCGGGGGAAGACGGTAGCGGTACCAGCTCAGCAGAGGCGGAGGCCTCTGTATGGAGGCAACAGAGCAGAGCAGCCAATGCATCTGTATCGCCGTAACGCATCTACGGAACACATCTCATTATTATTATTTTTTATTATTATTTTTTTATTATTATTTTTTTTTTTTAAAGCAGGGCCTTATGGTCCTGGCTCCTTCTAATCTGGGGAGAAACACATCTCATTATTAAGTATTACATCATCAGGAAGTGAGAGTCTCACAGACTATCAACAACAAACAAGGAAGACAAGTCACAACACCGCGCAAGGGCGGTACCCCGTTTAGGGATTGGGAACTGGGGGGATGAGGTCAAGGTGGGAGGCAGGATTACGGCAGAGACCTCTGAGGTCTCAGCTATTCCTCTCCCAAACTACACTTCTCAAACGGGATACAAGCTCTTTTCCTTCCCATGCATCTTAATTGGACATTAATGTTTGGAGTTCTTGGCGGAAGCAGTCCCCTGCCTTTCAGTTATCAAACCCGACGATACCAACCTGGGTGCAATTCTACATCAGACTAATTATGAGTACACTAGAATCAAAGGTCGCAGGTTTACAGTGGCTGCACATGCACAACTGTGTACCCCCGGCAGCCAGGTGTGCGCGCAAAGGTATGGATATCCCCACCTCATGCATCGTATGCCCACACAGCTCCTTGGAAGACTCCTCCCACCTCTGGTGGGAATGTGTGGTGGCCAGAGGATTCTGGGACTGGGTCCGCAGAATGTGGTTTGCAGCATATCAATAGTAGTTACTGAACAACGTGTATTTTTAGGGCATCAGGCCCCGCCGTGCACGCACGGCCTTGAACCGGCACCCTCAGCCTCACGAACGAAGTCCCGTAACCACTACAACCCTTGGAGGTGTTATAAAAACTGGATCAGGCCCCGCCCTGCCCGCAC